CGATCCCAATACGAAGTTCGCGAACATTAGGGATATCCATCGGGCTCAAATCGAAGCGGGTGAAAAGGAGGTTATCACGGCTGAATCCAGCGACTCTGAATGCCCTAGTGAGGCTGGCAGCTGTATTGTAGTGGGTGTGGTTGAGGATCAATAGTTAATAGTAATGAGGAGGTTGGGTTGTGATCCCATCGTTTTTGTGGTGCCAGAAACAGGGGGGTGCCAGGAAGTGGGTATGTTGACTTAGAAGATGTAACCGGTAATCAGGTTGAGAGTCAGAGGAGGGTCGTTGATGTTGATGTAGCCACCCCACCAGGTCAGCAGACCATCAACGAGACCGATGAAGGCCAAGATGCAAAGAATCGATGCAACAATGGTACCGGCAATCTTGATACCTAGCCAAGCACCGTTTGCAAAAGCATGGATAGCGTTCTTGGCCTCATGCTCATCGTCGTCAGGGATGACGACCTTTCCAGCAGTCAAAGTCTCCTCCTTCTCGGGGTAGCGAAGCTTGGAAATGGCAATAGAGGCGGGGATGGACATGACGCAGGATGACACCATGGCCTGGGCATTGAGACCCAAGTTGATATAGGCGACGAGAGTGGAACCAGAAATGGTTGCGAAGCCGCAAGTCATGATCTGGTGGATTTCGGCCTTGGTCATGTGAGGGACGAAAGGACGAACCAACATGGCAGACTCGCCCTGGCCGATGAAGGGGGTGGCAGCAGCGACGACAGCCTCGGCACCAGACACGCGAAGGGCCCAGAAGACGAAGGTTGCGAACTTGCCGATGAACCACTGGAGGAAGCCGATGAAGTACAGGACCTGGACGATGGCGACGAAGAAGATGATGGGAGGAATGACGCCAGTGATGAACCAGTGAAGATCAAGCACACTCTCAGCAGTGAGGAAGGCCGTTCCCTGGTTGGCGAAGCCAAGCAAGTCACCAGCTCGATCCGCAATAAACTTGAAAATGTCGTAACCGACGCCGGTGCGAAGGACAAAAAGCGCAATAATGTACTGCGAAAGCATACCGCCAATAACGGGACGCCAGTTGATACGCTTGCGATCGTTCGAAGTTGCCCAGAAGCAGGCCAGGATGACGATGAGACCGAAGATGGAAACGGCACGGTTCTCACGGTTGTTGTCGGCCGACTCCTCCGAGACGAAAGAGCCAACGAGCATGACAGCGAGCGTCACGGCAGCGCCAGCGATAGTGCGGAACTTGGCAGGAATGGCGTTGTAGATGACGAGAGCAGTGTGTTGCCACACAAACTTGATCGGTCGGGAGACGTAGGAGCTTGGGACGTAGAAGAAGAACAGGCGGAGGGAGATGCAGAGCCAGACAAGGAACGGAATGACCCAGTTCTTGTCATTGCGGTGCTCAATGAGCGAGGCAATCCACCAGCCGGTGAAGAAGTAGAAGAGGAGGATGTGGAAAACCCACTTGTACTTGCGGTAGAGGGTTTTGAACTTGGAGGGCTTATTCTCCTCCTCCTCGTTGGAGGCCACGACGCCAGTCTTCTCGCCATCGTAATCAGGGGGTCCGCTGAGCTTGTCGCCCTTCTCAATGTCGTGGGGCTCGACAGAGTGCTGGTGTAGATGGCTCTGGTGCGGAACAGTTGTCTCTCCGGTCCTGGTGTAGGTTACATTGTCGTCGTGACCCTTGGCATCGACACGAGCGCTGTGGTGCAGATGTTGATGCTGGTGCTGGTTGTGAATTTCCAGCGCCGGGTCCGAGTTGCGACGGGGGGGCGTGCTCCCAGCCGTGGTGGTGGTCTGGTTGACCTCGGTGACCTGGGAAGACATGGCTGAAGAATATGCTTCTTGGAAGCGCACCGATAAAGAGGAGTATAGATGGGGAAAAGGTAGGGCTGAAAGAGACGTCGAGCGGTTTGACAACCAGTTCTCTCAGTGGTCTGCCGTAACGAGGAGACCGTGGGCCACGCAGTTGAAGGCGCCCTGGCGTACTTTGGGGAGGTTGACGGCGAGAGACTCGGGAAGCAGCTGCACGAGACAAGACCCTTACAATAGATGAGTCTCGAGGGGAAGCTCTCTTTAAAAAGCCCCAGTGCGACGATCAAGAAATCCGAAAGTAGTGCCGAGGCTAGGCTAGGCAAGTAAAGCAATGCCTACGACTCGTCGACCTTATCAGCAACCAGGTCAGGATGGAGTTCGCCGCCCTTGTGGTGTGGAGGAGGAAACCCTCATGCGGTTCGGTGCCCATCTCGGTGGATTGACCCAGATTCTGGACGAACGGCTAGCCAACGAGGGGTGCGGGATGGGATAGGCGACAGGGTTCACGGGTGTGGGATTGACGAACAACTGCTGCACCAGAGATACTGAGTGGCCGGGGTGTAGCAAGGGAGTGTGGGAGGGGAGCAGGTCCGAAGGACGCCAACGCGAGAATCAGGGACGAGACTGGAGCAGATTGAAAGAGTAGGTAAGACGATATCTTTGGAGACGGGCAGACGAGAGAGTGGCAAGCCGCCCAACCTGTGTGTGGGCCGGCCGCCAACGGTTCTCGTGAAGTGCCGGGCTGACGGACCATACGGATACTCTGGGGTCTATCAGCAGCACTTTTTGGTCTTGTGTCCTCATAGTACGACGCTATTGATACTCTCTCAGGGTTTTGGACCCATGGTGAAGCTGTTGCCGGCCACTTGGGCCAGCCAGACGGTGTTGTGACGGGAAAAGGTACCTGTCAAGCAATCGAAACCAAACCCACTCGCGTACGCCAAGGCCCACCAATTCTCTAAGTTGACGGGGTCAAGATACCGGTTGGGTTAATCAAAAAAGTATAGTCTTGAGAACCCTTTGATTGTTGCTCGGTGTGCTTGCGATAAGGAATGCAATTTTTTTTTTATTTTCTGCATTTTGACAGTAGCTGGACAGGGATAGTCGCCGCACCCAACGGCACAGACTCTCGATCAGAGCCGGGCCAAGACCTTTAGCTCTCGACGTGAGTGGCAAAGCTAACGGCGTGCTTCCGGTTCTGGAAGGTTGATGGAACGATGGATACTTGCAGTGGAGTCGACTGAGATTGGAGAGACGGGACTGGACGTGGGAGAGATGGTCTAGCAAAAGGGCAGGGCTAGCGTGTGGGTGCGAAAAGGTTGCCGGGTTCGTTGGACAAACAATTGGCGGCCCTGGCAAGGGGCGAGACGCGTCGGCCGAGTCCACGCACGAATCATGGCTCTGGAACCATCTCATGATGAGATCTGCTCGTTTCTTCTGCTGTCATGTATCACGGCCAAGCACTAGCAGCGGCCGGCGGATATGTACTCCGTAGATACTCGGACAAAGTACGGAGCACCGTCATCTAAAGGATTTGAGACTCCGGTGCCTCCAGTAATGTCGAGGCAGTGGGTTCCTGGGGATCGCGTTCGGTGTCTTTGACTAAGATCATTAAGGGGTGTCTGATAGGCTCAAGACCGGGCCTGTTTCTGTACGATGGAAAGGTGTGTGGTAGATCCTTCCGCTCTGTTGGGCGCAGACATGGCCAAGGGGCCGACGCCCAAGACCCTAAGAGGCGCACGAAGTGACCCCCAAGCTTGTCAGAGAGACACGGAGACATGCAGAGAATCGGGACTGGCTGGCGATAGCTGCATCAGCCGCCGCGGCGCCACAAGCCATGGATCGAAAGAGCCGCTAGAGGCCGGTGAGCACACAAGCCCACGGCACAAGTTGAGATGCAAAGGCTCGACAATTGACACCTGCTCGAGACGTACTGTCAAAGTCTCAATGTCTGACGCTTGATTGAGGCACAGGATCTTAGCCTGCTGCCAAAGAGACGCATGGCTGCTGACCTTGTAATACAGTACCGTGAGATCAACGATAAGAGCAATCCCTGCTACTTCATCCGTAGGCTTTTACCTCGAAGTTGTACGGATGCGGATGCTCAATTGGTCTCTCAGTAATGTGCCCTTTCGCCATGCGCACTACTGGAGCAATGAGCGGAATGAAAAGCCAAGATTGGCGAGCTAGCCCTGTCATTCGTAATTGCAAGCAGTAAGCGAGCCCTATGCTTCGGATTCCTGACCCGGACCGCACTCTTGCGATTTAGTTGATAGAGCAAGTGCAAACTGTTGGAGGGTCGTAGATAGGTAGTGTCGACAGAAAGTCAATCTTGGGCTTTCCCCGGCCCTCTCTATCAGTGCCCTCAGCTCCTCGTCTGGTCCTGTGTCGTCGGACAGGGCCGAGAAGAAGGGACCTGGGGATGAACATCTGCCAGACCGTCACTGACAGACGAGAACTCCAAAGTTCCTCTTGAGCACAAGCACCAAATTGACCAACACAAAAGGGCCTGGGCCTGGGCGCATCTGGCATCCCCAGTCCGTCCCCCCCTCTCACTCCCATGCCTCAGCATCCGCATCTTAGTGCGCGCACTAAGGGTGCCAGGCGCCGGGCGGGCAGAGGATGTGCTCCACGCCACCCTGGGGAACATGAGCAAGGTTGACGGGCCTGTTAGGTTGCGGATTGCAGCCGTCGTATCTGTGTGCCCAATCCAGTCAACGAGCGCGTGCGACTCGGCTGTCGAGATTGGCCCAGCACAAAAGTGCCATGCTTTTCGCTTTTCAGCTTCGGTCGGCTCCGCCATTCCAATTGAGTCTGTTGGCTGGGAACCTGGGGACTACAGCATAGCTCTGTACTCTTTACAGGCACGTGAAGTGTGTCTGATGATAAGCTTAAGGTGAGCTCCGACGACGCCAATGCGAAACTGAGCCCGGCTCACAGCTTGCCAGCCTGGCTCCTTCGCTGTCCTCCGACAGTCATCTATCTACAATTGAGTCTTTGCGCGCGCAAGACCGATCCCTCGATGCCCGTTGCGGAAGAGCCAAGTGACCATTATCAGAAATAGTGATACTAACGGACTGGGAACTTGGCGTCGTGTCGCCTTCGATGCAGTATGCGAGAAAGGGATATGCCCAGCATCCCCGTCGGCTCCCGCATTGAGAGCGGAAATGATTATCAATGGGCTGGTTAGCTGCGCAACTGGGTCAGCAAAAGACCGCGGATCCAGACACCCTACCACGTGTGGTCTCCGCCCCCAGATCCAACATCGCGGACCGCCGCATTCGCAGAGTGGCAACGACATTACCTTACTCCGTACTCCGTACAGATAGAGCCTTAGGAACTCGCAACTCCACTCCCGGATATTCGGATCACATTTTCTTACTCCATACACAGCAAGTACATGCCGGGCGCTGGGTCTCACTCTTGGCTACTGGGAAACAGAGTAAACCCTGTTTGTTCAACGGTGTCTCTACAAGTCCACGGACACAGATGCACGATCAGTTTCCGACGAATTGACATCTGTCCATGTTCGTACAGGTTCCATCCCCCCCCCCCCCCCAAACCTGACCTCCTACGTACTATGATCCTTGTAAAGTTTCATATAATGACAGCTGCCAAAGCGGATTTTCTAGCCAACATGACAGTCTTCATATGAGGATACGAAATCCCACTTGCCACTCAAGTTCAAGTAATTCTGTTCGATGATCGTTACGTCATTTCCTTTCAGGTAATTTATCTACTAATTTTTCTCCAGGATGTGGATGAAAAAGTCTGTATTGATGATGATGCCATCACCAACCTTCTGAAAGTGCATCCTGTATGTGCGCTAGTCACACTGATCGCGAAGGAACAGGCCTCCGTCCTAAGATCCTACGAACTACTTTCCAATACAAATTCCCCGGGCCGTACCGTTGAATCTACATTTGGCGAACGACGATGCCTACAACTGGTGAGTGCCGCGCAAATCACATGCAATAAAGGTTCGCTTTTGCCAAGTAAGGTAGATAAGGACAACGAGATACAGTCGCTCTGATGGCACATGCAGAGTCTTATGGGAGCCGGCGATGCAGAGATTGAATTTTAGATAAGCTATTCCAAGCAGGTACCCTATTTTGAATGAGGTTTGCACCCAGAGATGGACCAGAATGATACGTGAGAGATTGCGAGACAGGCCGACTGCTATCGGCCATGGCCTTGTATCCGAGGTGACTAAATGAATGCAACTGACGAGGCGAGCAGTGGCTCATAGTAATGGTATTTGTTGGCAAGTATGTCAAAATTCGGCCAGCTACCGCCTTGATCATCATCTGGGACGACGCAGGTGGGCGTGATCCGTGAGAGACATTAAGCGCCAGGGGCCAGAGACCTCCGAGGCTGAAGTAGACGTAGAATCTATGAGTAACCGGTTCAGACTAGCGTCATTGGCTGGAAGTCTGATTCGAAGATGCTTCCAGATGAGATGTTGCAGGATGAATTTGGTCAATAAATGTCTTCAACTCCGCCTTCGTGTGCCGGCAGAAGATAAACCAGCTTTTCTCCTGATATACTGCTAGAAACTATTGTTAAAGATGGGGCATATGTCTCCTGAGCGTTGCTAAGTATTGACAGCTGCTTCACTTGCCTTTTATCAGGCGTTATTAGCGTCAATCACATCAGTAGCGGAAATTCGTGTGGTCTTGGGGAGTTCCATTAAGTGCTATATTCTTATATCTGACGCTTCTTGCCTACTCGTGTATCGTTTCGAGAATCAAACAAATCGTCGTCTAACTACCGTGCCCCTAAAATCATATTAACTACATCAGGTCAAAGATGAATGAACTGTGTGACAGATCATTGCTGGTGCGCAACTGCCCTTTCACTCTTCTCCTGCACCTCTGTCTTGTAGCCCTTGAACTTCCGTGCTGGGACTTGCTTGATGAACATCTCATCGAGCTCCTCGTAAGACCGTCCAGCAACCTCGGGTTGGTAGAACCAGAGATAGACAGTGGACAGAACGGCAAGGCCGCCGAAGA